CAATGGCTGAGCGTGGTGCAGATGATCCCCTTACTGGTCAAAATAAATAAATAAATAAAATTTTGAGGCTGTAGCTAAAACAAAGATATTTAGGACAGGAGACAGAAGACAGTGGTTCTTTAGAGCATGAGAAAAAAGGAAAATGTAATCTGATCTAATAAACCCAGGAGAGAGAGAACTTAGGGTAAGCAAGATAAAATTACCTGAAAATCTGGCCAGAAGACTCTGGATAAATCCTGAGGTTTGTTAAAAATTGAATGCAATTTAGGTTGCCAAATGAGATTAGTATCTGAAGTAGTATCTGTGCAAATACTGTCAGGATTTTTGGCTAATACAAAGAGAAGTGATCATTCACTATCATATACTATTTCTTTTAGCCTATAATTCTCCCAGTATCTTCTACTACAGTGCTTAATTGAGAACAAAATCCAGCTTAGTAATAATGAAACTGTACCAACTACCGACTGTCCATTTCATTAGCTAAGTCCTTCCACACCTCCATTATACATGTGTCCCTGGTAAGATAATTACTCTCAAACTTCTCTGCCTGTCATGTATGTATCAGGGATGCAAGCAAGTCAATAGTTTAGTGGGTAAGATGTGCTTTTCATGGTCTGGTAAAATCTATCAATGAAATTTTAACCATTCCTGATCCAAATATGAAATTTTTGTATAGAGAAGACTAATTTTGAGCAATGTAAATAAGCTGTCCAATATAAAAGTATAAAAAACAGAATAGTGACAGCCCCAATACCACAAGGCCAGGACCCTGGTGATCAGATTTCTACGTTTAGAATAGTATTTGCTTAAAAAATACTTATGAGTGTCTAGGGTGCCAGGTACTGTTCTAGCACATAAACTCACTCAAAAGAATGAGAGTTAAGATTTCAATAACTCAAGGACTCTTCTAAATCCTTAACATAGAAAGCAAAAAAGAAGTACCAAGTTTCTTCAACTAGTATTCTAAAGCTTTTTATAAACAAACAAGTCATTTCAACTACTTTCTCTATTTTGGACTTTTTTATAGCTTATATTTTCCACAGCTGCTCTACACATATTCAAACAGCTAAAAGTTCAGCAATATACAAATAAAAATAAACCTCAGATCAAAAGACACACGCAAAATGGCTGTTAATATATTAAAAGGTCCTTAACTTCACTCATAACTAAAGAAGTATAAATAAAAACTAGTTTCTACTTTCATCTATTAGGTTAAAAAAAAATGTTAAGGTTGATAATACCTACTTTTAATGACAGGAAGGCAAGCATTCCTCCACACCCTTTATTGGTGGGAATTTAAATTGATGTATCTTTTTGAAAATGTGCATACCCTTTGAGTGAGGAA